CTAAGAAAAAAGTGTGAATAAAAGCTCTGGAACTTTTTAAATCTGAAAAGTAATTTTTTACTTTGGAATATATCAGATATTATGTCAGAGACTGTGATCAACAGGGTAAGAAATTACAAACTTTCATCATAAAATAGTGCTTATTGGTATCTGTGGTTGTTATTAGTTGCAAACAGTCTGATCTTGCTCTGAACTCTGTGGCAGGGCTGGTAACACAATAACCAGTTGTTTATAGAGGAGGATTCAAAGGAACAGAATGGATAGTTCTGCAGAAGGAAACTTCTGCAGGGTACGTGTTTGTTTTGTTAAATTTCATCTTCTCGTTCCAAAACATATTTAGTCCATTAATTTCATGCAGAATGAACATACACATGCTCACAGACACATATTCACTGTGGTTTAACAAGTTATCCTCTTATTGCACACAATATTAATTTGAATATTTTAGTTTTTCAAAATAAATTCTTCCCCCTTTTCATCATCAAAGAGTAGAACTTCAAAGGAACGCATAGGTTGAAGAACAGATTCACAGAAGACCACCAGTGTCTCTCCATTTGCTTTCTCCTATGGAGAGTAAAATCAGAGGGTAATGTCTGGAGAATGTTTGGCTCTACAAAGGATTGAAGATTCAAGTTACATTTTAATAAGCTTCTTTGCAGTGTTTCTTGACTGGAAATCACAGCTAGAGAATTACTAGTTTGGTTTATTCATTGTGGGGGATAGATATAAACTAAGATCATATTGCTTCCTTTGTGTTATTCTTGAAATATATTGTGTGTGTTAGAAATTTAGCTCTGTCACTTCCCAAAAAATCTTTTGTTGCCATGAAAATAAACTATGTGAAGAAGTTTGAACTAGATAAAATAGATTAAATCTAGAAATAGAGAATAATTAGTCTAATGTAGTGTATAAGCCACAGTCTAAAAGTTCAGCTTTTTTTAAAACCTGAGTCAGCAGATCCTAATTATATTTTTGGAGGCTTATTTTGTACCCACTGACTTTTCTCAGATATACTAACTTCTGCTAAGTGTGTCTTGGTAGTGATATTTATGATGACATTTGCTTTGATGGTGATAAGTATTCTGAGACAAAAATCATTTAAGTTTTATATATTCATTGTAGGAACAAGATCAAGAAATTACCACACAGTCATGTTTTGAAAGTACATAAATGGATGGCACATTTTCTCCTTTTGAAAGTGCATTCTTGTACTAAAAGGCACCTAATAGACTGCAGAAGTGTATTTTCCACAGCATAAGTTCTCCTTTTGTTGGTATATTTAAACTTTGGTAAAATGATCTTGCATTCAGTTTGCTTCATTTGCTTTACCTAAGATGGAGCACATTGACAGTTTCTTCTTTCCTAATTAGTGCCACAGATGTGATTTGCTTCTCTAAGTTTGTGGTAAGAAGCATGAAGGATTTCTGGCAATTCTGTCAAAAATGCTTTATCAGTTTGTTTTCCTATCTCTGAAGTTCTCTGATGGGAACACTGCTACCATCTATTGTTAAACAAATCTGGAACAGGCTGGGACAATCCAGTTAGTTATTCTTACTCAATGCTGTCATTTACCAGAAGGGCTTATGCATGCAGGGCTTATGGCTTATGACAGCCCTGCATGTCATTTGCATGCCGGGCTTACGGATTTTTCCCGCTGTTAAAAGACTAAAGGAATAGGGCAGTAGAATAAGTGTATATTCTACAATGCACATTGAAGAACAAATGGCAAGAGATGTGGTAGAGGTCATTTGGTTTGTCCTTTATCAGTTACTTACTTTTCCACTTCAGTTACTTATCTTTGCTATCTCTTTAGAATCACTTTTAAGATAAGAGAATCTAAACTCCAAACCTTTAGCATTCCTGAGAGCAAAAGAAGCTTGGAATAACTATGTATCTAGATAGATCTAGAATTGTACCAAAAAATGTTTTCTTCCAAGCGTGGTATTTCAAGTATTACTTGGATCTGATCTAACTGCTGGCCTGGATTCCCAGGGTCTGTGTTTTCCTTGAGGTATTCACACAGTAAATCTATATAGACACAGATTTTGAAGCTGCAGCACCCCATGAGGAAAAGTGTTGAATTACTTTGTTTACCTAGATAATCCTAAGGAGGGAGTGATGATTTTTAAGTCAGTTAGTCCAAATTCAATTAGTCACTTTATCAGAGAGTCACAGAATACGCCAAGTTGAAAGGGACTCACAGGGAAAATTGAGTCTGTCTCCTGGCCTTGCACAGAACAATCTCCAAGAGCCACACCCTGTGCCTGAGAGCATTGTCCAAAAGCTTCTTGAACTCTGTCAGGCTTGTGCTGTTGCCACTTCCCTGGGGAGCCTGTTCCAATACCCAAAAACCTTCTGGATGGAGAACATTTTTCTAATATCCAGCCTAAACCTCTCCTGACATAGCTTCAACCCATTTCAACATTTGTGATTTTTCATTCATTCTAGGGAGCATCAGGATGAACTACAAGTTCGCTGAGGTGGGCATTGCAGAAGTACCATGAAATATCTTTTATGGTTAGGCATCTCTGTGTGAAAAGAAAGATTGTTTTTTATGTTCTTTGAGTCATTCCCCAGTTTGTGCTCTTCTCAGTGGTGGTAGGAAGGGTTAGAAACAAAACCACGTGTTCTTATTCAAACATAACACCAGCAACTAAAAGTAATTAAAACCTTTTCAGGGTTTTCATCACTACTGCATTATACAGAAACGTTTACGCAAGAGATAGAGCAACAAATTTTATTTACTTCATCTTTTAATGCATCCCATCTAGCGGTTTTCAAGCAGCCTGATGGCCTTTGAAGTGAGCACATGGTGGCAGTGTTTTGTAATTCAAAATAGCACTCCATGCTGACATTTACTTTCTTCTCTTTTCTTAGGCTGTGTATAAAAAAAATCAAGTTTTCTTCTGATTTCACCAGTTTTGTATATTTGTTCTTTAATTGTGTCTTCTGTAGAAATTTGTTTTCTCATTTGTTTCAGATAACTTTCGGAAAAAGTTGATTGAACACATCTGAAAAAAAATTTTTTTGCAAACATTTTCATAGTTAAATAGAGGTTCATCACATTTTCCACACTATTTGCTAAGGACTTTTGGAATTTTTCAGAAGTCCATCAGCTTCCCCTCTCCACATGTACTTTAAAAGTATGAGTTATTCAAATGTAATAAATAATTTAGCAAAATATTGTTTTTTAAAAAACATAAGTATTGATATTCCTAAAAGAAAAAATTTCAGATTGTTATTTATTAATTGCTATGAGAGCACCAAAAATGGTCTTTTCTCAAAAGTAATGTATACCTTTCGAATAAAAATCATTATTTTCAAGAAATATGTTTATTGGGAAAATTTCACTAAGGTCTGAGCCTTATTGCTGTGGTAATGATCTTTCAGTCTGTTGTAGCTGAAATGTGCTACTCACATGCTGCTCTGTGAAGAAGAGCTAGTTAGGCATTGCTTGTTGGGTGGCCTTTGAAAACCTTGTCCATGGTAGCAACTTCAAACCGTGCAGACAGGTTGCAGTTAGAAAAGATTTTCATTCACATGATGTGATTTTTGTACACTGGGAAATCTCGTGTAGAAACATTGGAACATCCTCAGCAGAACTCTTTTTTCCTACACTACATGAGTGCATCTGGTCCATGTGTGGTGTATAACCTTTTTTTCATAAAGTGGTCTGCAGATGCAGAGCAGATTCCTGGCTGGTGTGAATTATTCCTTTTCAGTCTTTGGGACAGATCCTTTACTCTGGTAAGGATCCTCCCCACACTGTTTCAGTTTCCCTTGAAGGGGATTGGTTTCTAGCTGTACAGCTTTTTCAGCCTTGTGTGTTTTCAGGGTACTGGAAGAAAGAGTCACATAGTTCAGATAAATTTGCTGTATAGCAAAACCTCATTAATTTAGAAGCATACATTGCAGAGAAGTAAGTATCATGTGTGGGACTTTACAGCTACAAAGCAACTACCTAGATTCTTAAATATCTTTGTGTTTCTGAAAGAACTTCACCTAGAGTAGAAATGAGTTTTCTTTTTGAGGCTTTTTCAGGGCAGCACTGTAAGTTAGAGCACCTGATATTTGCTTTTTAAAAATTTTCAAGGATCAATGGAGATCTCTTATTTAAAAAGTCTTTTAAGCCATATAGATTTTCAGATAGAAATTGAAAGGAAAATGCCTGTTGTTTGTCTTCCCTGGGCCTCAGGCAATAGGATGTAAATATGAGTAGTGAATACTTTGTGAGATCAAACTGGCATTTTTTCTAAAGGTGAGAATCCAAGACAATATATACAATTAAAGCCAACAGCCTTGCCTACCAAAAGGAGTCCATGCCTTCTGGCATTCTCCACTGAATACCTCCTCTGTTCCTCTCCTATGTATATGCATCTCACAGTTTCTCAAAAAAAAAAAAAAAAAAAAAAAAAAAAAAAAAAAAAAAAAAAAAAAAAAAAAAAAAAAAAAAAAAAAAATAGTAGAACCAGCCAGCGCCAGTTTGTTTTCTATGTTTTCTTTTCTCTGTAAGGGATTAGCTGTAGTAACAGATTTCATGTGCCAGAAAGTGGGTGAACATTAACTATTTTGTCATGCACTGATCCTTCCCACAGCTCTGCAAAATTTGAAATGCAGGAATGGTTATTCATTAACATTTCTTTGTGTCTACAGGAAGTACATTTACTATGTAAACATGTTTTATATAGAACATACAGCTGTTTTGAACGAGCACTCAATGAAACATAAGAGTACAGTGCCTACACTGCCACTTCAGAAACTCTGAGATACCACGGCATTGTGTTTTGGAAGAGTGAACACAAAAAAAGACTTGGTGGAAGTTTCTTAAAAAGCCAAAAATCTTTGATTTGCTTGATAGTTTTGTGTGTAAAATGCACCTGCACACTGAACTATTAATG